GTCTACCACGTGGTGCAGAGTGGGACAAGCTTTACCACACGTAGTCTTAATTTGGACCCGGTACTCTCTCAGATCTCACCTAATTTAGGCTGCCATGACGAGGCGCCTAATTTGGAGCAAGTTGTATAACCCTGTGGGGTGTGCCGCGAAGACCTGGCCATGTGTACTACAGCAGACGGAAATCGACCACGTACAGCTTTGACCAGTCGAAGTTAGTCTTCATAATTGCATGAGCACGCCACTAGTGCTTCTTCTTTTCTTGAAAAAAGTCTATATAGCCAGATTTTGCGCGTGAAAAGGACATGCGGTGCCATGACACTCACATACCCAGAGCACAGCCCAACTGCTGTACACCTGCAGGTGTGTGTGTGTGTGCGTGTGTGTGTGTGTGTATGTGTGTGTGTGTGTGTGTGTGCTTTTGTGTGCGTGCAAGAGAGAGAGAGAGAGAGAGAGAGAGAGAGAGAGAGAGAGAGAGAGAGAGAGAGAGAGAGAGAACTCACATTACCTACTAATATATAACATGCATCTATTTGCAAACCAGATATGCCCACATACCGAGGCAGATGAAACACACACACACACACACCTGTCTCTTATACACATCTAGATGTCCCCCGGTTCTCCCTTTCTCCTGTATCCACCGTCTTTTCACTCGTCTTTTCTTCGGTGTTCTTCTGCTCAAGTCTTCTCTTACCCCTCTCGCGGGTATTCGCTCCCTTTTGCACTGTATCTATCTTTTCTCTAATCTTTCTAATTCCATGAGGAGGATTTGAACTCATGATCTGTTTGCTCTGTCCGCTTCTTTCCCGCCCTTTCTTTGCTTCTTGCTTTTCTGCCCTTCTAGTATTTGCTTCTTTCCCGCCCTCTCCCTTGAAGGGGGAAAAAGGCGGGAAGCGCATCTCACGGTGTCTATAGTCTCCTCATCTTCACGAGTATCCCTTTGTTTGGCGGGAAAATCTTATCGACCAGTTCATCAATCAACCTTAATCCTACCCGCCGGAACGCACTCCTCCTCAGCTGCGATGACTCGCCCACCTCCTCTGCCGCCACTTCCATCGTCTATCCCTGGTACACTCGTTCTATCAGGGTGTCCCCTTGCCTGTCCTAATGTCTTCTGTGTCAGTCGAATTGAAACAAAGGGGTGGGAAAAGACGCACGTCTCTTGTCGGTCGTTGTGAACGCATTCCTTTATGAAAAGGTACCGTGAGAGAGCGGCGGGGCGCCCTTTCGTGAAAAGGCACCGTGTGAGAGAGGTGGGAGGTAAGGAAGAGGCGGCGGGTGGACAGTAAAGATGGGGATAAAGGTGTCAGGTGGGGGGTGTCCGTTGGCGGTAGTTTCACGTAGATCCCTTAGTGAGAAACAGGGAGCGAGACGTGAGAGAGGTAGGAGAGATTCGGTATAGGGGTAGAACACAGTGCATAACCGTAATAGGTTGGGGGAGGAAATCGGTGGTGGGGAAGGAAATGGGACATGATTTGAGAGAAACTGAGCCGAAATATGTGTGTGTGTGTGTGTGTGTGTGTGAGAGAGAGAGAGAGAGAGAGAGAGAGAGAGAGAG